CCCCCCGCTTCTCTTAAGCTCTTAATGAAATTGTCCCCAGCTCCATACAAAAACAACTAAAAAAACAAAAAAGAACTATTACCAGCACTATCGATGGTCAGTTCTGTTCTCTCGTTCATTTTTTCTTTTTTCGGCAGTGCTGGTACCCTGAGTTCCTCTACCTCTGTCCCTAACACAGGTCACCTGCTAAATGACAGTCACCTCGACAGTGACATTGAAGCAAGAGTCCATGGAGATGGTAGGCAGAGGGTAAGAACCAACCGAACGTCACACTGGTGAATGCACACTTCCAGAGTCCGGGCCGCTCTGTAGAAACAGGAGACAATCCCTGGATGGCGACACTGTGGAGAGAGACTGTGGGCTTTTCTGCCGTCCCACGTCTGGAGCGTGGAATGATTCACTCTTCTTCTTGGTTTGTTTGATTTTTTTAGACTAGGCTGGCTTCACACTCAATCCTCCTGCCTCCACTTCCTGCCTGCAGGGCTTTCATCAGGATGATTCACTGTCCCTAATGTGCTGTGTGAGCATCGTCCCCATGAGGAAAGAGAAGGTGGGACCGCAGAACACCTGTTCTTCCCAACCCACTCCAATAACTTTTGGTTTTCAGTTTTTAGTTTTAAGACAGGGTCTTACTCTATATTCCAGGCTGGTCTCTAACTCAGGGCAATCCTCCCACCTCAGCTGGGCAAAACCCACCCCCTTTTGCTTATTTTTTTTCTTTTGAGACATGGTCTCGCTGTGTAGTTCTGGCCATCCTGAAACTCACTGGGTAGAACAGGCTGACCTCAAACTCACAGAAATCCTCCTGCCTCTGCTGGAATTGAAGGTGTGTGTCACCATACCCAAATAATTTTTTTTAAAGGACTGTGTGTTGGAGGAGAGAGATGGTTAAGAGCACTGGTTGCTCTTGCAGAGGACCAGGGTTCCGTCCCCAGCACCCACATGGTGGTTCACAACCATCCATAACGCAGTTTCATGGGATCCAACATCCTCTTCTGACCTCTATGGGCATCAGGCGTGCTCATGCTGCACAGACATACGCTTGGGAGACAAAGGCATGGAATGCTGAGTTCTCAGCGTGTCTGGGCTACAGAATGAGAAATGAGAATCATCTCATGAAAGCCAACAACCGGCCCCAAGACTGCATCATGATTTCTCCCGGGGGGGGGGGGGGGCGGCAGCGGCAGCGGGGAACATGATAACACCATTCTCTAAATAATTTCTTCCAGGTTTCTGTCAATTTTCCTCTATAGTCTTGAACTGATCCAACATCTGTCATATGGATTTCTGAATTATTGACAAGAGATGATGGGTCATTTTGGCTGAAGGACTGCCCTGGAGTTGAATGTCCAAGTATGGATTCTTGGAAAAGAAGTCAGGTCCTTGGAGAAGGACATGGATATGCTGGAAAGGAGCCGTGTATGTGGGTGGTCATGCATGATCAGGGGAGACAACTCTGTTTCCTCCTGGCTCTCTTTATTTCTTTCTCTAAGGTATTTTTCTCGTCGGTTCCTCCCAAAGCCTCAGGAAGGACTTTCCAGCCTACGAAAGTCCTCACAATTGGTCTCCTTGACTTTCTGGAGCTTGTGGGCTACAGAGGCAAACAGCTAGTAATTGGAGTCCTCTTTAAATGCTTCAAGAACAGTGACGTCACCATGTAAACACCTCCCCCCCACACACATACACACTCTCCTTTCTTTTGGAGATGGGGTCTCATGAAGCAAAGCTAGCTCAGCTTGGAACTTCTGCCCTTACTGACTGAGTGCTGGGGGGACCGTCTTCTGCCCCATGGCCTGGCTTCTCTGTTTAATAATGATAGAAAATAATTGGCTAACGTGGGTTGAATATTAATAGGCTCTCCTTTGAGCACAAATACATATAAAATATTTAATCCTTATTTGCAGCCCTGTCACGGGTAAAGTGTTGTTGTCCGTGTGCAACAGAAGAGAAAACCGCCGCCCAGGAGGTTAATAGACTGCTCCAAGCTCACACATCTGCAGCCGAGCCTGCAGCAGCCTTACCCCACTCCATTTGTGCGTGTGCGTGTGCGTGTGCGTGTGTGTGTGTGTGTGTGTGTGTGCGTGTGTGTGTGCCAGCATACACATGAGGAGGTCTATGGACAGCTTTTGAAGTTGGTTCTTCTATTATGCATACGGGTATTTTGCCTCCAGGTATTGAGTTCCGTGTATGTGCAGTGCCTGAGGAAGCCAGAAGAGGGCGCTGGATCCCCTGGAACTGGGATTGTGAGGAACAGAGGGTTGTGAACTGCAACGCAGATGCTGGAAATTGAATTTGGGTCCTCTGGAAAAGCAGCTGGTGTTCTTAATTGCTGAGCCATCTCTCCAGCCCCAGGGAGCTGGTTCCTCCGACCATGTGGTAGAAACCTAACTCAAGTTGTCAGGCGTGGCAACAAGTGTCTTTTACCACTGAGCTGTCTCGAAGGCTCAGTTCCTGTATTTTTTTCAACCATCTCTATTGGTGAACATTCAAGCGTAAGATACAAACTCTAATGGGGGGACCATTGAGATGCCTCAGTGGGTAAAGTCGCTTGGTGCCAGGCCTGAAGTGTCCCATCCCTGGAACCTACCCGGTGAAGGAGAAAACTAACTCCACATTGTCTCCTGGCCTCTATATGTAAGTCATAACATACACACAGCCAAAAGAGATAAACGTGATTTTAAAAAAAAAATATGTAATGGGAACTAATGCCAATCAGGTTATACTTAAAATTCCTGTGCCACTGTCCTCAAGAATTTCCCGGACACCTGTGGTAACAGACGTTGTGAACTCTCATGGTTTAGACTCGCTTCCATCCAAGTGGGCATGTAGTGACTGACCACTTACTGAGTGGCTGACCATGGGTGGTCTCTCTCTCACTCTCAAGGAAGGATCCAAATCTCTTGTCAGATTTTGCATTTCAGAATTAGTGTTGCCCACAGCACGGAAGCCAAGCTCCGAGAGAACCGTGCGCTCGGTTCTAATCCACGTTCAATTCCTAGGGTGAACATAACACCTGCTTCACAGAGCAGGAAGGCCACGGACATGACCTCCTTCCGGAAGTGGTTCAAAGCAAACACAAACAGGCTTCCTTTTCTCGTCCAAGTTTCAGAAGAAGTTCGGTCTAGGGATAGGCATGGAGCTCAGTAGCAGAGGGCAGGCCCAGCATTCTGAGGCCCTGGATTTGATCTCCAACACTGAAGCAACCAAAAGGAGTGAGCATTGGGAGTTGGGAGTGTGACTCAGTGGTAGGGCATTTTGTATGAGGTATTTGGATCCAAACCTTAGCACCACCACCTTGCAAAATTGGGTCTACAGTTGTTTGGGGGTTTTGTGGTGATGCTGACAGGCATGAAATATATCCGCTGCAGTGACCCACACATCTCTAGGAAAGTGAAAGTAAAATGGCCCGAAAGTCTGGCGGAGACTCCCAAAATGCTTCTTCCTCTGTGTGTACAGTTGTGTGTACAAGGAATCCAGAGGTGAGCCTTGGGTATCATCCACCTTGTCTACCGGTCCACCTTTTGTTTTCAGGCAGGGTCTCTCACTGGCCTCGGGCTCACCAAGGCAGCTAGGCTGGTTGGCCGGGGAAGCCCTAGCATTCACCCATCCTGTGTTTCATCGGCTCCAGCATTAAGTATGAGTTACCACGTCCAGGCTTTTGTAAGTGTGGGTTTTAGAAATCAAACCCAGGTCTTCATGTTCATGCAGCAGACATGCTACCCACTGAACCGTCTTCCCAGTCCCCTGACACACTTCAGAGTAGGTAGGTGTGATGATGTCTTCCAGCCAGCAAAGACACTGAACTGGAGCACTCCTTTATACAGAGCATGTGTCCCTGCCCCTGTTCCCGCCCCTACCGACGCACCTCTGCGAGGGCAGAGGGGACATACCCGGTGGGAGGTGTTAGGGAGCCAGCTGAATGTATCTTGGCTCAGAGCAGGCTGTACTAATCTCCAGCAATAAGGGCAGGAAATGCATTGTATCCCCACCCTAGCAGCTTTTGTTCAGAAAACTGGATGACTTCATAATCCAATCATGTGTGTGGAGGAATGCACACACTGAACTTTTTCAAGAGAGAT